GTGTGTGTGTGTGTGTGTGTGTGTGTGTGTGCGTGCGTGTGTGCGTGTGTGTGTGCGTGCGTGTGTGCGTGCACGTGCACGTGCGTGTGTGTGTGTGTGTGGATCTCACTGTCAGTGAATGAAGATGCTTTACAGTAATGATGAACAGCATCATCACACTCATATCCGAGTTTGTCTTTAACAGGTGAACAAATCAGTGCTGTGAGAGGATATTCTGGAGGAAACGTCATTATAAACTACAAATATGAGATGAATCATGAGAACCATGAGAAATACTTCTGTAAAGCTGGATCATATCAATGTATAACTCTAATAAACACAGACAGAGCAGCAGAATGGAAACATGTCGGCCGATTCTCCGTTCATGATGACAGATCTGCACGTCTCTTACGTGTGTTTATCAGAGAGCTGAATGTGGACGATTCTGGAGAATATAAGATTATAGTCAAAGTTTCTGAAGACTACAGTCTCTTCTCTGAGTTTAAGCTGGACGTTAAGAAGGGTGAGCTGCTTTCATTTGTTTCTGTGGTGAATTGATGAATCTCTTGTTTAATTCTAACATTGCTGCACTTGATTTGTCTCTCAAACAGCTGATTGTTGTGAGAAGAGCATCAGTCTCTCAGCTGCTGCAGGAGGATCTGTGAACATCAGCTGCAAATACCCACAATCCCACAGTGCTGATGTGAAGTTTGTCTGCAGGAGATCTGGATCTGATCTCTGTGCTGAAGAGACGTCTGTGGAGGAGAGCAGAAGATGGAGCGCTGAGGGACAGATGCAGCTGTATGATGACAGAGAGCAGCAGCTCCTGACGGGAACCATCAGTCATGTGACTCAACAACATTCAGCTGAATACTGGTGTGGAGTTCAGTCTGATCAAGGACACAAGAGCTTCATCACACCAGTCCTCATCAGCGTTACAGGTACGGATGGTTTTCTCACTCATATTAATCATAATGTGATTAAAAATCACAGCTAGCTTCCATTCAGCAGATCACGGTGTGTCTTGTATCATGTTGCTTGACTGTGTAAAGAAAGTGATCATGATGATTTTAAGAGAACCGATTCTTTTCATACAGGTTTACCAGCAGGTTAATTTTAGGTGTTCTGTCTTTTTAACAGAGCAAAACCACAAACCACAGTTAAAAAGAGGAAGTTTCCTTATAAAAACAACATAGTTCACAGTCTATGTAGATTAATGTTGCTGTTCTGCTCAATGAGAAACTGCACACAGAGTGAAACAGAGAACAGTGTTTGTGTGTTTATTCTTCATTTCATTCTTTAAATGATCACTAAATATTGTTATAAACAATCATTTCATTTCACACTCATTTCCCAGTTTACATCGTCTCTGTCCATGTTACAAATGGCAATTTTCATTATCTAGATACTAAAGTATCATAATACTTATAAGCTACAGCAGTGTGTAAATGCAGGACCTGCAGATCTGGACACACTTTAAAAGCAGAAGTTTTAGTTCTGTATGCGATAACGACATATTTCTACAGTGTTTGTTTGGTGTTGCAGCATTAGTTGGTCATTTGGACACAGTGTTACTGTAGTTTTTAACTAGTTGAAGTGTGCTCATCTGAATGCAGTATTAGAGCAGTTGTTGTACTGCTGAGAGTCACTGAACCAGTCTTGTTCTATAATTAAGAAGCTGCAGTTAAAGATGCTCGTCCAGTAACCTGCTATTATTCACTGAGAAACCACAGACTTCAGTTACTGAAACTCAAACAAACAGCTCGCAGTTTTAATTTCTGAGTGTCTCTGTATCAGCAAACATGAATTCTGGGTAGTGAGTGTGTGAATGACATCAGTAACACTTATATTTACCACGAGACACGTGATGCCAAGTTCTGTGTGTGAAAAAAACAAGTTCATTGTTTTATTGTTTTATATACAGATGTTCCAAAAACAACTTCACCACAACCAACATCTTCATCATCTGCATCATCACCTTCATCATCACCACCACCATCATCATCATCATCTTCTTCTTCTTCTTCTTTCTCATCAGTCAGAACTCCACTGATCACAGGAGTTTCTAAATCGTCTCCAAGTTTTACACCAGCAGGTGCTGAAACACAAACATGTGATTCATGGTGTAACTTGTGAGGAGCTCTGACACCAGAAAGATATTACTAAATATATAAAAAAATATTAGATTTTCAACTATACAATAAATAGTTTAATTTGATACATTTAAATCATTGATGTATAAAAAAAATAATAACAATCATCCACTCATTCTTGTTTTGATATTAGATCTATTGAACTGATTTAGCATTCTGTAGTTTGCTGTTTGTAGTCTATCAAGACAACAGCTGCTGTACAGTATGTGGAAAATAATGTGTTTTTTTAACTTTAAACCTCATAAACACATTTCATTACACCAAATACACAAAATAATGTTCTTTTTAGCAGCATCATATGACCCCTTTAAGAAGCTGCAGTTAAAGATGCTCGTCCAGTAACCTGCTATTATTCACTGAGAAACCACAGACTTCAGTTACTGGAACTCAAACAAACAGCTCACGGTTTTGTTTTCTGAGTGTCTCTGTATCAACAAACATGAATTCTGGGTAGTGAGTGTGTGAATGACATCAGTAACACTTATATTTACCACGAGACACGTGATGCCAAGTTCTGTGTGTGAAAAAAACAAGTTCATTGTTTTATTGTTTTATATACAGATGTTCCAAAAACAACTTCACCACAACCAACATTTACTGAAACTCAAACAAACAGCTCGCGGTTTTGTTTTCTGAGTGTCTCTGTATCAGCAAACATGAATTCTGGGTAGTGAGTGTGTGAATTACATCAGTAACACTTATATTTAACACGAGACACGTGATGCCAAGTTATGTGTGTGAAAAAAACAAGTTCATTGTTTTATTGTTTTATATACAGATGTTTCAGAAACAACTTCACCACAACCAACATCTTCATCATCACCATCCTCATCATCTTCATCATCATCATCATCTTCTTCTTCTTTTTCATCATCATCAGCTGAATCTCCACTGCAGAGAATGTGTGTCAGAAACTGATTGATTTTAAAGGAGTTTGAGATGTTCAGTATCCAGCATCTGAAACAAACTCTGAGCACCGAATGACCCTCGTTCTGTGTGAACAGATCATATTTAGCAAAACGGACATCGACTGTAATGTCAGAGGAAACTGTGTCCTCCAGATGAGTCTGATTGTTTCTTCTGATATCTAATCATTTTATATAGTTTTTTGTCTTGTTTCCACAGTTTATCACTTGTGTGTTTAAGGCTTTAGACATGAATGTGTGTTTTTCTGTAAAGCTGCTTTGAAACAGCGTTGAATGTGAAAAGTGAAATGCAAATAAAAATGAGTCTTTTAGCAACTCTTAAATGACTTCCACTGATCTCTGTGTTTTTGGACTGGAGCATCTAGATTCAATCTGAGGTAATGATGGGGTGAGTTCTGGTCGCCTCTCGTGGGGTATCTCACAGCTGAAGCAGAGCTATGAACCGACGGCCCTAAACTCAGAGCTTTTCCCCTCACTGCGCCTGCGTGAAAACAGAAATGAAACGATGGCGACGCGGACGGAAGCGATGGAGGCTACACAGTTCGGGTTCAGAGGCTCCCACGTGTTGATTTCACCCGTATTCAACTTATTTAATTAGATTATTAAAATTATTATTATTTGAATTATGGGTGTAACTTCCACTAAGCTGTAAACAATCAGTGAAAGGCTCGCTATATGAACACTATAATATGTTTTTTTACTTGTGAAAACAAACAAACCTGGAAAGAGATTTGAGGAGAAAAAACAAGAGATTCTAGCATTCCAGTGAATTATGAATGGGATATATCGTAAATTAAATCGAGAGAACAGACTACAAATGTGCAAGTATAAGATGTCCTTTTTCACACTATTACAGTTGAATGCAAAGGGAAAAAATAAAATAATCACGAGGAAAAGAATGCAGCGACTGAAAAGAGCTCTTGATATTCTTGTTATAACGTCACGTTATTCTCATGATGTCTGAAAATAAAACATGAAGGAAAGTCGACTCTCATTGAGTCAAGCAGATGGATATAAGCTTTATTTGTAGGGCAACCTTATGATATCATGAAATTATTAATTTCAGTCTTTTGAAAGGAAGTTCCCCGAACCGGAAGTGCCGGCCATAATTTAAACCACAGTCGGCTCGTCAGGAATAAGGTGGAGTTGCATCTCAATGAAGGGACCGCATGTGAGCACATAAATCCTGAGCTTTGGCTTGACCTCGCATGTGATTATCTCCTTCAGTGAGAGTTGGTATTTAACAAAAACGTTGCTGAAATCACAGTGTATACCCGGCCTTATGCATCGTTAGCGTCATAATCAAACACAACTGCAAAATACTTATTTCAATCAAGTTTTAAACACTGACAGACAGATAATCATAAACTCACTCTATTGACTGAGCCACTGTTATTATGTGGAGCTCCATCAGACTGAACAATAATCCATTTATACTGTCAGATTCCAGAGTTTTAAGAAATATTTATTTATTTACGTATTTACCAACCACAGATGGTGTTCTTTTCTCCAGTATTAATTTAGTCTCGTAATTATATTCTGTAGTACCTGGAGAAAGCTATTAGTGATCACACCGTTCTCTGAAAATAAGTTAATCAATCAATCAATCAATCAATCAATTAATCAGCACACAGCTACAAATGAAGGAGACCTCAGTTTAATGAGAGCTGCTGCTGTTTGCATGTCTGTCCACCAGATGTCACTGTCTCTAACATGAATGCGATGCACTCAAGAAACTCTTTATTAAACTCTTAAACAGTTAAAAACATTAAATATTATGATTCTGAGAAAATAAGCCTCTGAATGATAGAATAATTCCGTTAAAATCTCTGTAAAATGCCTTTTATTATGAGTTTTATTTGCTTGTTAATGTGAAGCATGTGTGAAATAATAGTTTCAGTTCCCTGTTTATTAACCATCTCTCTCTCTTTCTCTTTCTCTTTCTCTTTCTCTCTCTCTCTCTCTCTCTCTCTCTGTGTAACTTGTGAGGAGCTCTGACACCAGAAAGATATTACTAAATATAAAAAAATATTAGATTTTCAACTATACAATAAATAGTTTAATTTGATACATTTAAATCATTGATGTATAAAAAAAAAATAATAATAACAAGCATCCACTCATTCTTGTTTTGATATTAGATCTATTGAACTGATTTAGCATTCTGTAGTTTGCTGTTTGTAGTCTATCAAGACAACAGCTGCTGTTTGTGTGGCATAATTTCAATTTCAATCTCTCTCTCTGTCTCTCAGAGGAAGTGGGCGTCTCTCTGTCACAGTCAGCAGTTCATGTTAAACATGTTAATCAGAAAAGAAACACTCAGAACTCATCTGAACACACATCGAGAGCTTCAGAAGAACTGAATCTACTAACAACAGAGAAGATCATTGAAGAAGAGAGAAGAATGAAGATCATCTGGACTTTCACTCTGCTGATGATTCCTGGTAAGAATCTGTACTCACAGTAAATCACTCAAAACAGCAGAGTCTTTAACTTCAGATATTTGAAAGTTCATCTCTGTTCAGTCTTATGAATACATTAGTGAATACATTGAGATGCTGGTTTATTTTGTAGGTGTCATGAGCTCCATCAGTGTGAGAGGATATTCAGGAGGAGGAGTCATCATCACATGCAGATATTATGAAGGATATACAGACAATGCTAAGTATTTTTGTAGAGGACAGAAAAAAATTACTGAATGGTGCTCTGAACTCATCAAGACTGATAAGAAAAATGGGGGAAAATGGGTTGATTCTGGAAGATTCTCTCTGTTTGACGACACAAGAGCAGCAGTTTTCACTGTGACCTTCAGAGATCTGAGTGAACAGGATTCTGACACATACTATTGTGCTGTTGATATCTCTGGAATAATAGATTCATACACTGAAGTGAATCTGAACGTTGTAACAGGTGAGTAACTAAGACTCTCAAACTCATGATGATCATCAACATCACACACCCAACACTGACTGTAATGACTGCGGTTCTTGGGCAACATGTAATCCTGTAAAAATAAAAATAAAACATCAGAAAATCAATAACCAGGACAAATATAATATATTTTTATGTTGCAGTATAAGATGTAAACTAATAAAATTAATAAGCAACCAGATGTCTTAACTGAATACAAAATGACAAATGATCAAAAATAAAGAACAAATATATGAACAGTGATAAAGAGACAGTGATCAGATGTGTGTGTGTGTGTGTGTGTGTGTGTGTGTGTGTGTGTGTGTGTGGATCTTACTGTTTCAATGAAGATGAAGTGCCATTCTTCATCAAGAACATCATCATCATCACTGATATCTGAGTTTGTGTTCAACAGGTGAACAAATCAGTGCTGTGAGAGGATATTCTGGAGGAAACATCATTATAAACTATAAATATGAGATGAATCATGAGAACCATGAGAAATACTTCTGTGTAACTGGATCATATCAATGTATAACTCTAATAAACACTGACAGAGCAGCAGAATGGAAACATGTCGGCAGATTCTCCGTTCATGATGACAGATCTGCACGTCTCTTACGTGTGTTTATCAGAGAGCTGAATGTGGACGATTCTGGAGAACATAAGATTATAGTCAAAGTTTCTGAAGACTACAGTCTCTTCTCTGAGTTTAAGCTGGACGTTAAGAAGGGTGAGCTGCTTTCATTTGTTTTTAATTTTAGATGTTCTGTCTTTTTAACAGAGCAAAACCACAAACCACAGTTAAAAAGAGGAAGTTTCCTTATAAAGGTTCATGATTGCAGTCTGTGCAGGTTAAAGTGCAGTCTTCTGTAGATCAATGTTGCTGTTGAGAAACTGAACACAGAGTAAAGCAGAGGACAGTGTTTGTGTGTTTCATTCTTCATTCTTTAAATGTCCAGTACTGCAGATCTGGACTCAAAGCTGCAGCATTAGTTGATCATGTGGACACAGTGTTACTGTAGTTTTTAACTAGTTGAAGTGTGCTCATCTGAATGCAGTATTAGAGCAGTTGTTGTGCTGCTGAGAGTCACTGAACCAGTCTTGTTCTATAATTAAGAAGCTGCAGTTAAAGATGCTCGTCCATATTCAGAGCTGTTAATAATTTCTCTGTCTCTCTTCAGGTTTCTCACACTGGATGTGATTATGAGGAGATTAAAGACTCTCACAAACAATTACCCACAAACCCCTCTGATTCACCTAACGCTGTTTATGCCACTGCTCAATTACCCACAAACCCCTCTGTTTCTGCTAACTGCGTTTACTCTACAGTTCAGGAAGCCACCGGTGACTCTCAGATCTTCATCACATGTGCTGAGGATCTGAATTACGCCGTGGTGAATTTCCACAAGAAAGCGGACTGTCCTGACAGAGTCAGTTTGAGGAATAATCAGGATTGCAGTGAATACGCTGCTGTCAATCATCTCACTGCCTGACGAGCCACAGCAGAGAATATCATTGAGCTGAAGGCTTTGTTTTTGAGTTTAAGCTTCCATGTTTGGTATTTGTGTTATTTTTGTGATGCTCTTCTGCTGTATATTTAAGACAGTCTTGTAAGTCAGACATAAAGTATGTTTAAATGACAGTGCAGTGTTTTGTTCTGCAAATGACAGTCAAATAAATGATCAGAAACCCTTGAGTTTTCGATCAGAGTTTGATGTGAATAAGTACTGAATATTTCAGAACAAAAGTGTGAAATTAAAACAGAATATGCAGCGGTGCTCATTTAGTTTGGTTAACGTCAAACTACACGCCTGGCCACTAGCGGTTCTTGTAAAAAAAAGTTTTAAGGCTCAGTGTTAAAAAGCTCACAAACTTTAACACATGCAACAACTACTATTTTTTCTCGGTGATTATTTTAAAAGCTTGATAAAAGAAAATGTAATAAACCTAGATGAAGTGATATTGTATGCAAATGTGATATGAATGGATTATGGAAATCTGAAATTATATAAATGCACAACTTCTCTCCTCTGACTGAAGTGAAGTGTAAGAGGGAGGGGAAGTTATTTTGATTAAAGATAACCAGAGCACATGAATAAAAAAATAAATAAAGATGTGCTCATAAATAGTTTATAATAAATACTGTAATGTTCAATAAAAAAAATAAATAAAAAAAAAAAGAACTGGTTTTGATTTCACAGCTATTTTAATCAATCATCAATGTGCTTATTGTCACGCTCTTGTAAAGGGAGGCCCACAAAGACAAAGGCAATCCAAATAACATTTAATAGTAATCTAAGATTATGAAGATTCATACAAAACACAAGCAGCATACACAACTATAATAGCCAACGACCAAAGGAACTGAGGAGGGAACTTAAATACACAGGCATGAGAGGAATTCAATGACTTCATTAACAGGACACAGGTGAACAGAATGAACTAATCAAGGGAACTAAGGAAAACTAGGTCAAACTCAAAATGGGCATGCAGACAAAAACTAAATGAAAACACAAAAGAAGTCCATAACTGTGACAGTACTCCCCCCTCCCAGAAGGCGCAACCTCACGCCGTAAACGCACGAACACAGGAGGGAGGGGGTTTGGGAGGAGGACGAGGCCATGGCGAAGGGCAGGAAGAGAGGCAGGCAGATAATCAGTAGAGGACAGTGGTCAGAGTGCACAGACCGAATCAGGACCAATATTAAAAACAAATGGGTTGATTCTGGAAGATTCTCTCTGTTTGACGACACAACAGCAGCAGTTTTCACTGTGACCTTCAGAGATCTGAGTGAACAGGATTCTGACACGTACCATTGTGGAACTGATATTTATGCAAAAATAGATTCCTACTACACTGAAGTGAATGTGAACGTTATAAGTGAGTAACTGAGACTCTCAAACTCATGATGATCATCAACATCAGACACTCAACACTGACTATAATTACTGCTGTTCAAACATGAAACCCATAAAATATAATAAATAACTTCTACATAACTAAATAATATCTCCTCATGTAATATTGACACTCATAAGTGATCTTGACTTGCATTCATTAATGCTGCAGCAGATATGTTCAACATGTAAGTGACTGGATATGTGTTCATTAAGTACAAGGCAATAGATTATCTGGGTTTGTGCTTAACAGATGAAACAAATCAGTGCTGTGAGAGGATATTCTGGAGGAAACATCATTATAAACTATAAATATGAGATGAATCATGAGAACCATGAGAAATACTTCTGTAAAACTGGATCATATCAATGTATAACTCTAATAAACACTGACAAAGCAGCAGAATGGAAACATTACTCCCCCCTCCCAGAAGGCGCAACCTCACGCCGTAAACGCACGAACACAGGAGGGAGGGGGTTTGGGAGGAGGACGAGGCCATGGCGAAGGGCAGGAAGAGAGGCAGGCAGATAATCAGGGCGGCGACGACGAAGGGAGGATCCGAGAAGGAGACAGGAGGAGCCAGGGCGGATTAGACGGAGGGAGGAGCCAGGATGGAGACAGGAGGGACTTGGATCAGGAGGGACTGACTATAATTACTGCTGTTCAAACATGAAACCCATAAAATATAATAAATAACTTCTACATAACTAAATAATATCTCCTCATGTAATATTGACACTCATAAGTGATCTTGACTTGCATTCATTAATGCTGCAGCAGATATGTTCAACATGTAAGTGACTGGATATGTGTTCATTAAGTACAAGGCAATAGATTATCTGGGTTTGTGCTTAACAGATGAAAAAAATCAGTGCTGTGAGAGGATATTCTGGAGGAAACGTCATTATAAACTATAAATATGAGATGAATCATGAGAACCATGAGAAATACTTCTGTAAAGCTGGATCATATCAATGTATAACTCTAATAAACACTGACAGAGCAGCAGAATGGAAACATGTCGGCCGATTCTCCGTTCATGATGACAGATCTGCACGTCTCTTACGTGTGTTTATCAGAGAGCTGAATGTGGACGATTCTGGAGAATATAAGATTATAGTCAAAGTTTCTGAAGACTACAGTCTCTTCTCTGAGTTTAAGCTGGACGTTAAGAAGGCTGAGCTGCTTTCATTTGTTTCTGTGGTAAATTCATGAATCTCTTGTGAAGTGACGTGACATGTGGCCAAGTATGGTGACCCATACTTGGAATTTAAATTAATGTTTAATTCTAACATTGCTGCACTTGATTTGTCTCTCAAACAGCTGATTGTGTGGTGTCGTCTGCCGCTCGTCTGAGGAACCACACTCAGTCTTGAGTTTTGATGCCAGAAGATACATTTTATTACATCATCAATGAGAATAAAACGGAGATGCTCTCTGCAGCGAAACATCTCCAGAATGATCATCTTGTCTTCTTTTTATACGATTCATGAGGCTCTTGCTCCGGGGCGATCCTCAGCTCTGTCACTCCTGGTGGCGATGGCTCGTCGATCGCGGCGGGCTTAGACTCTCCGTCCACGGTGGGCTCGGGCAAGCACTCCATGTAGCGAGGTGATGGTTGGCTGGGCTCTGGGTCCAGAGTGGGGCTGGCGAGATCCTCATCGACGTAATAAAGAGTCAGTGGCAAGTTGTAGCTCACCAGCACCCACTCCACGAAGGTGGCGAAATCCCCTCGAGGACCGTCTCCGGACAACCACGCTCTGTACGCGGTGTGGAGGCTTGCTATGTAGAACAAGCAGAGCGCGTCGTCTGGGTAACTGGTATTTTTGGCAATGTCCAGAAATAGTCTGGTGTGGTCCATGAGGGCAAGTTCCCCCTGCTCCAGCAGGACGAGGAGCAATTTGGGGCAATCCATAAACAAAAATATAAAAGACTTCAAAAAACCAGTACATTCTGCCACGTAGGCCTGTTTTACACACAGGCATATGAGATTATAATGGAAGAATAACTGGATGTTCAAATGGTTATATTCCTAATGATTACACTTGAACAATTCATATTTTATCCAATAAAAATCTACTACAATTGTAAACAAACGAGGGGAAACGCGCCGTTAAACTCTTTGTTTAGGTCAATTATTCTGTCCCGATCTTGTAAAGGGAGGCACATGAAGATGAAGGTAATCCAAATAACATTTAAGAGTAATCCAAGATGATGAACTTTCACACAATACACAGGGTAACACAAGCAGCATACACAACTATAATAATTGACCACCAAAGGAACTGAGGAGGGAACTTAAATACACAGACAATAGAGGGACTAAATTACTTCATTAACAGGACACAGGTGAACAGAATAAACTAATCAAGGGAACTATGAAAAACTAGGTCAAACTCAAAATGGGCATGAAGACAAAAACTAAATGAAAACACAAAAGAGGTCCATAACTGTGACACTTATTTTGTTACCATGGTAACCGCTGCTGTTTGCACGTGTGTCCGCTAGGGCTGTGCAAATAATCGAATGCGATTTTCATGCGCATCTCGTCAGTAAAGCTGGTTCTGTGATTAGTAGTAAATCTCCAGCACGTGCTTTCAGATGGAGCGGCATTTACTACACAGAGCCGTAGTTCACTGACAAGCTATGCAATATCG